AGTTCTGCAAAATATGTCAATACAACTGAGCTAGCTAGCACACAAATACAGCCTTAAAAAAACAAAAACATATTTTTTTTTATCACTTATAAAAAATTTATTACTTCTGCTTCCACTGGTAATATTTTAGTGCAAACAACTGAATCGTGGCAAAAAGTCTAAAATCACTTTTTGTGTTTAAACATGCTACTTTCCTAAATAATAAAAAAATTTTATTACTTCTGCTTCCACTGGTAATATTTTAGTGCAAACAACTGAATCGTGGCAAAAAGTCTAAAATCACTTTTTGTGTTTAAACATGCTACTTTCCTAAATAATAAAAAAATAAGGTTCATTCGCTAAACTGAGAAATATGGACAAGGGAATTCTAGGCAAAATTTTGCCAAAAACAAAAATAGCCAATTTCAAGATTATTTTTCTAATTTGGCTGTTTTAGCGTAACATATAAAACTCCATTTCAGTTCTCCACTAAGGCAAGTTTAGTGAATTAACTCAGAAGCGATTCCCAGGGAATTTTCAGAAATTGCCCGGGGGAAGTACGAAGGCCAACATAGTACAGCAGGAAAAAAAAATGGTATTTTTTCAATATGGCTATTTCAGACGGACATTTGCAATACCACGGTGAAATTCTGGTTCAGTGAATAACCATGACGTAGATTGAGTTATTATGGAGGATATAGCTTCTGTTAAAACAACTTGTAGAACAATTTTTTGTTCAATTTAACGACAGGCTGACAATCCAATGATTTTAACACTCTTTCACTCAAAAGGTTAAAATAAAATTACAACAGTGGGAAAGAAAATCAGTGGGGAATGTGTTTTGCTGATCAGAGTTCAGGTAGCATTAACCTTACTAAGTGCCTTTACTCATTAGACATTTTTTTTTTAACTCACACTAAAAGAATCTTTTAGGTCACCTTGGAATTCCAAAGCAGTGAGTGTTTACCTTTATGGAATCATGAGAACGAATGTCAATATCGTATATAACTGATTAAACTGCGGTAAATTCTAGCACACTTCTCATAGAGTGATACGTGTGTGTGTGTGTGTGTGTGTGGAGGGGGGGGCAGGAGGGTGGAGGGTGGAGAAGGAAAATGTATTAAATTATGTTATTAACATCTATAATTAAGGAGTTTGTCAGCTTATCATTGGGTAGTGGTGAAACTATACTCATCAGCAATTTATCCAACTTGATGATCCACTCACCCATTGTCCATTCGAACTAAATGCGATTTTGACCTCGGAATCAAGATTTTTGTCATTTTGACTGCATGTGTACACAGAAGAATCAGCACCTCCTAAGCATGCATGTTTTGGACTCAAATTCCGACTGTTTCTCTTACATTAAAAGAGAAACATAGAAACATAGAATGTGACGGCAGATAATAACCATTCGGCCCATCTAGTCTGCCCAATATTTTGAAATACTTTTAATTAGTCCCTAGGATAGCCTTCAGCTGGAAGGCTATTCCATGCATCCACTACCCTCTCAGTAAAGAACATGCTGGGTGTATATTTCTATTACGGAGCGTCTTACCACAACAAATGGCTCATGGGTTTATAACAGAGCTCCACAGCTACATTAACCATGGTAATGTACGTTGTATATAAGGATGTACAGAGATCCACAGCAATAAAACTGACTGAAATATGTAGATGAGATGTGCAGAGTGCATTAGAGTATCACAAAGCTCCACAGCAACAAAGCACAGTTTTCTCTCCTATGCATCGTGGCACCTATCATATGTTAAAACTAAAACTAAAATGGGGATTTGATTCATTCAGCTATATAAGATATTATGGTTTGTACTGTAAAACAGTAAGTTATAGACTTATTCACAGTAAAAAAATATTTGGTTCCGCCGAATCATTTTTTTCAATGATAGAACAATTTTTGGGACAACCAAAATTCTGATGGATGTCTGTTTGACTCAGACAAATGTCAATTCGTGAATGAAATCAGGAGGACATAACAAAAAATGCAAACATGGGCCAATCAGCGTGCTGCGTAATATATACACAGATCAACAGCATTATTTACTAAAGCAAGAATTCCAAGTGAATTTCAAACATAATGTCAAAATAGCCAATCTGGAAACATAGCCGAATTAAATAATTTTTCAGTTGCATCTTTTCTCTCTTTAGTGAATAAGTCTGCCAGTGAGAAAAATTACCAAAAGTAACCAAAAGCGTGGGAACAGGAACAGTATTTATGAAATATATGGTATATAAATATAGATATTTTTTAATGCTCGTCCTGTTTTCCTCACTTCTCACTCGATCTGTGAATAAAATGAATATTTTAGATAGTCATCAATCATCCCCCCAAATATATTTGGCATTGTATTTCAGAATTCCCAGAATTCAGGTATAGTTCAGCTCAGAATTTGAGAATTCCGTCAAACACCTAATTTGCACAAATTTGACTCAATTGCAGTTATGTCAAAAACAAACCTCCGGACCTAGGATGCTTATCAAGTGCTTGAATTACATTCAAATTGTACTGTACTCTCCTATTCTTTTTTAGTGAATTATGGATAAAAATAAACCCTCAACAAATTCAATAATGATCAATAATAATGATCAATAAATATACCTAAAACTGAAATTCAAGCATATGCAGGAAATATCCAGGCTTTGCATCTTCTGCAGTGATCTCTGCTAAGACTAGGAAGTGACATATAATGCTCACATACATTTTTTAGCACTATTAAGCATTTCCCATAAACGGTATTATTTTTCTTACTTCTATTGGCAAGGGAAGGGATTCTGGGAGTTGTAGTTCAATTGAAAGCCTTAAACTATATAAAACTTGACAAACAGCCCACAACTCCCAGAGTGATAACATTCCATACAGCGATATTATTGGAAAAGAATAAACATGCAAGGTTGGGAGAGAGGGACAGAAAGGGTGGGCTCACAGGGTGGGCTTACAGACCAAAACTGATTATTAAAAAAACCAAAAAAAAACAAAACCTAAATACGATTAATAATCTTACCCAGCATAATTACCTTAAACTGACCTGCTCATTTCAAATTGTAGTGAACGTGTGAGTGCTCAGAATGTCCTAGGACCCCAATTTCAATACTCTGATATAGAGAATGAATGCAAGTGATAATGTTTAAATCCTGGTTTTATTTCAACCTGCCAGGGTCGTTGAACTGATGTGACCTTGCAGAATATCCTCTCTGTGTTGCAGTTAATCCCCCAGAACAAATCTAGATCTGCACTTGTTAGCAGAAAGACAAACATAATTAAAACTACTTAGAAAAATGTGATAATTAATGCCTATTAAATGACTAATTGGCAGAGCATATTGAATTAATCTTACATTCTAACAAACACACGCAGTCTGGGACAAATTGTCAGGTCAGAGGGGTACTGCACAATGAGTCTACCGCTGGGGACTTTCTAAACACCCAGACATTATGCTTCCCCAGTTAGTAAAGGGCTTTGTTCCCTAAACAGGAAAAGTTGCAAATTAGCTAAATTTATCAAATTAATGCCAATATATGTAGCCAATTTTGGTTTAAAGTATATACATACACATAACATTTTGACACATGGGGTTATATAACATTATAACATACAATGGGTTATTCACTATACATCCGGACGTAATCCAGGGAAAATTACCAAATTCTGACTGCAATGACAATTCTCACATTTTGCAAAATCAAATACGGTTGGAATTCTGTCGGGCCAAGCCAATCTGCAACAAGCGCCTACATGCTGTCTGGCAGACAGCCACTAGAGGAGGAGTTAACCCTAGCAGGTAATTATTGCAGTTTATAAAAAGAGTTATGGGAGTTTGTCACCCAGACCACTTCATTGAGCTGAAGTGGTCTGGCTGCCTACAGTGTCCCTTGAAGTAGTATTTGCCTATTGTCAGATCAAGCCTCAGTAATGCAAGGGTTACCTATGTGGTGCCTGGCGAGGCCTTGATAGCCAGCTGCCACATTAAAAAGGTACAAAATACATATATAAAAAATAATTTGAAAAAAGCCCATGGGGGCCAATAAGATGCCCCTCACTATTATAACGGAGGTTTAAAATCTACTGTCTACCAAATATTTAACACGAGTGACTGGGCAGCCAATTTTACGTATTTGTTATCTGCCCATTGACGGAAGGTGGAGCCCAATATTAATATTCAGTGGCTTTTGACCTCTCTTATAGTAATATGGAGGTCTTATTGACCCCCACACGGTTTTCATTTATTTATTTATTTATTATTTAATGTGGCAGCTGTGTGTATGTGAGTGAATGTGTGTGTGACTTGGTGCGACTGTGTATGACTGTATGTGAGTGTGTGTAGCCTTAGTAACTGTACATGTGTGTTATTGTGTGTCTTGGTATGCATGTGACTGTGTGCATAATTATGTGATTATGTTGTGACGGTCTATGATTGTGTGTCTGTGCATGTGTTTGTGAGCCTATGTATGTGACTGTGCATGTGTCCATATTTGTATGTGATTGCATGTCTGTATGTATGCGTGACACAAAGTAACGACTTGGGTTAAAATACACACAGGTGTAAAGGGAGAGGGATGGGGGACAGAACATATACAGTAACCATGGTGCGCCTCCGGTGTATTGTATATGATGTCAGGATTGGTGGTAGCACGCTAACTCATTTTATTTACATGCATGTATTTGTTACAAAAAACTTTCTAAGAGTCTCTGATTGTTGCAACACTTTAGTTAATGAAACATTCTGGCAGTAAGCAGTAAGTTATTCAATCTATCATGCTTATCTCCAGTGTTAATTTAGGTAAGGAGCCACCAATGCTGAGTACTTTTACACAGAATGACCATATGATGTGACTAAATCCTGAGGTTTTCCAGATTTTTTACAGATTTGAAGCTGCATATTAAGTTTTGGAAGTTTAGTTAGGAATGAGAAGTCACTTTGAGGATACTTCCTTCTGCAGACTCTGGGTAGTGTGGGAAGAGACGTTCATTCCAGGGTTAAATCCAAGCACTCTCCTACTTCTATGTGAGAACAAGTGTCAGATGTGAGTTCAGTCCCTTGCAGGGACACAGCCTAAACTCCCACTGGAGCTGTTTGTACTGGGCCAGTAGCCTGTGGGTGGGAGGGGTCACGTGATGCAGGAGTGCTGCTGGCTGCTTCCTTGCACAGTTAGGCAAAGCTGCTTCTCTGCAAAGTTTTCACAGCCCAGCAGAGAGGGTCAGAGACTGAGAGCCACCTGCACTGTGTGGGGGCCACAGGAGGCTCCCTGCTACTTAGCTGGGAACACAGAGCTCAATGGGTGATGACAGGCTGAGCTGTTTCATGGGGACCTGTGAAATCTCTCTCTTGGCAAAGGTTACCTATGGAGTTGTGATCCAGTCTGTTCTGTAAATCCACATCAATGCACTTTAATGAGGAGCTGCTTACACAGTTACTGTCTGCTACTTCTGGTAAGTGATACACTGTAACAACTACGCAATAAGAATTGTTATTGGCAAGTGATATATTGTAACCAACACACTAATTGTAATAAGAATTGCTATATATGGCAAGTGATACATTGCAATAAGAATTGATATATATGGCAAGTGATACATGGCAATAATAATTGTTAAATGTGGTAAGTGATACATTGTAATCAATACACCCATTGCAATAAGAATTGTTATATATGGTTAGTGATACATTGCAATAAGAATGCTATATAAGGCAAGTGATACATTGTAATCAATACACTCATTGCAATAGGAATTGTTATATATGCCAAGTGATACATTATAATAATAATTGTTATATATGACAAGTGATACATGGCAATAATAATTGTTATATGTGGTAAGTGATGCATTGTAATCAATACACTCATTGCAATAATAATTGTTATATATGGCAAGTGATACAATGTAACCAATACACTCATTGCAATAAGAATTGATATATATGGTTAGCGATACATTGTAACCAATACTCATTGCAATAAGAATTGATATATATGGTTAGTGATACATTGTAATCAATACACCCATTGCAATAAGAACTGATATATATGGTTAGCGATACATTGTAACCAATACACTCATTGCAATACGAACTGATATATATGGTTAGTGATACATTGTAATCTATACTCATTGCAATAAGAATTGTTATATATGGTTAGTGATACATTGTAATCAATACACTCATTGCAATAAGAATTGTTATACATGGCAAGTGATACATTGCAAACAATATACTCATTGCAATAAGAACTGATATGTATGGTTAGTGATACATTGTAATCAATATACCCATTGCAATAAGAACTGATATATATGGTTAGCGATACATTGTAACCAATACACTGGTGGCAATAAGAATTGTTATATATGGTTAGTGATACATTGTAACCAATACACTCATTGCAATAGGAATTGATACCTATTCTTAGTGATACACTGTAACAAGTAAACTTAATGCAGCAAGAATTGTTAAAATATGGTTTGTGATTCACTGTAAGTGTAACAGGAATTGCTACATATAGTAAGTGATAGTTTGTAACATCTGCACTCAGCACAATGATGGTTTTTGTAGGAGTTCCCCAATTTGAAAAGCTTTATTCTAATTGTGCAGCATAGTAAAATCTGGTATTGGGATTCTGTCTGTTAATCAATGGGTTAATTCACTGATATTCTGGAATGCTGTCAGGAGACTGGCCGGTGTTGATATACCATAGATAGACCTTAATTCATCATAGTGACAGGAGGTAGGTGACAGTTCTGCTTTTATAGTATTTGCAGATATTGACTTATATAATATAGGGAGATAAGTCAGGGGACCTTATCAGTACTGTCTAAAGGTGAGAGAAGTGTATTATTAATAATACTGACATGGGGATGCCTAGCCTATCATATCAATAATACTAAAAGGAGATATGTGACTGTCAGTGATGGGAGATTGTCTGCATGTATTATGGGAGCAGAGACCAGAGCAGTGTGTGCTAGTAGTGTTGGCTGGAAGTAGGAAAGCAGGGTGACAGGTCTGTATCAATAATACCGGCAGGGTGACTGGTCTGTATTAATAATACCGGCAGGGTGACTGGTCTGTATTAATAATATTGGCAGGGTGACAGGTCTGTATTAATAATACTGGCAGAGTGACAGGTCTGTATTAATAATACCGGCAGGGTGACAGGTCTGTATCAATAATACTGGCAGAGTGACAGGTCTGTATTAATAATACTGGCAGGGTGACAGGTCTGTATTAATAATACTGGCAGAGTGACAGGTCTGTATTAATAATACTGGCAGAGTGACAGGTCTGTATTAATAATACCGGCAGGGTGACTGGTCTGTATTAATAATACCGGCAGGGTGACTGGTCTGTATTAATAATACTGGCAGGGTGACTGGTCTGTATTAATAATATTGGCAGGGTGACAGGTCTGTATTAATAATACCGGCAGGGTGATAGGTCTGTATTAATAATACTGGCAGGGTGACAGGTCTGTATTAATAATACTGGCAGAGTGACAGGTCTGTATTAATAATACTGGCAGAGTGACAGGTCGGTATTAATAATACCGGCAGGGTGACTGGTCTGTATTAATAATACTGGCAGGGTGACAGGTCTGTATTAATAATACTGGCAGAGTGACAGGTCTGTATTAATAATACTGGCAGAGTGACAGGTCTGTATCAATAATACTGTCAGGGTGACAGGTCTGTATTAGTAATACTGTGAGGGTGACAGGTCTGTATTAATAATACTGGCAGGGTGACAGGTCTGTATTAATAATACTGGCAGGGTGACAGGTCTGTATTAGTAATACCGGCAGGGTGACAGATCTGTATCAATAATACCGGCAGAGTGACAGGTCTGTATCAATAATACTGGCAGAGTGACAGGTCTGTATCAATAATACTGGCAGAGTGACAGGTCTGTATTAATAATACTGGCAGGGTGACAGGTCTGTATTAATAATACTGGCAGGGTAACAGGTCTGTATTAATAATACTGTCAGGGTGACAGGTCGTATTAATAATACTGGCTTGGTGGCACATCTGTATTAATAATACTGGCAGGGTAACAGGTCTGTATTAATAATACTGGCAGGGTGACAGGTCTGTATTAATAATACTGACAGGAGATGCGTGAATGAATCTGAGAGTGTGCATCGTGTGTGACATCATCTGAATGGATCTGATTACCTGTATCATGTGTATTACATCATCTGAATGGATCTGATTACGTGCATTGTATGTATGACATCATCTGAATGGATCTGATTACTTGCATCGTGTGTTTTGAAATCATCTGAATGGATCTGATTACATGCAGTGTGTGTGTTTGACATCATTTGAATGGATCTGATTACATGCATCGTGTGTATGACATCATCTGAACAGATTTGATTTCGTGCCTTGTGTGTATGACATCATCTGCATGGATCTGATTACGTGCATTGTGTATGTGACATCATCTGAATGGATCTGATTACGTGCGTCATGTGTATGACATCATCTGAATGGATCTGATTACGTGCATTGTGTATGTGACATCATCTGAATGGATCTGATCATGTGCATCGTGTGTATGACATCATCTGAATGGATCTGATTACGTGCATCATGTGTGTGACATCATCTGAATGGATCTGATTACGTTCATTGTGTGTGTGACATCATCTGAATGGATCTGATTACATGCATTGTGTGTGTTTGACATAATTTGAATGGATCTGATTACATGCATCGTGTGTATGACATCATCTGAGCAGATTTGATTTCGTGCCTTGTGTGTATGACATCATCTGCATGGATCTGATTACGTGCATCGTGTGTATGACATCATCTGAATGGATCTCATTACGTGTGTCATGTGTATGACATCATCTGAATGGATCTGATTACGTGCGTCATGTGTATGACATCATCTGAATGACATCATCTAAATTGATTTGATTACATGCATCGTGTGTATGACATCATCTGTTTGGATCTGATTACGTGCATAGTGTGTATGACTCATCTCAATGGATCTGATTACGTGCATCGTGTGTTTGACATCATCTAAATTACATCATCTGAATAAATCTGATTATGTGCATAGTGTGTGTGACATCTGAATAGATCTGATTACGTGAATCATGTGTTTGACATCCTCTGAATGGATTTGATTACGTGCATCGTGTGTATGACATCATCTGAATAGTTCTGATTACATGCATCTTGTGTATGACATAATCTGAATGGATCTGATTACCTGCATCGTGTGTATGACATCATCTGAATAGATCTGATTACCTGTATCATGTGTATGACATCATCTGAATGGATCTGAGTACGTGCATCGTGCGTATGACATCATCTGAATGGATCTGATTACATGCATCGTGTGTATGACATCATCTGAATGGATCTGATTACATGCATCATGTGTATGACATCATCTGAATGGATCTGATTACGTGCATTGTGTGTATTTGACATCATCTGAATGGATCTGATTACATGCATCGTGTGTATGCCATCATATGAATGGATCTGATTCCGTGCATTGTGTGTGTGACATCATCTGAATGGATCAGATTATGCGCATTGTGTGTATTACATCATCTCAATGGATCTGATTACGTGCATCGTGTGTATGACATCATCTGTTTGGATCTGATTACATGAATAGTGTGTATGACATAATCTGAATGGATCTGATTATGTGCATAATGTGTATGACATCATCTGAATGGATGTGATTTCATGAATAGTGTGTATGACATCATCTGAATGGATCTGATTATGTGCATAATGTGTATGACATCATCTGAATGGATCTGATTACGTGCCTTGTGTGTTTGACATCATCTCAATGACATCATCTGAATAGACCTGATTAAGTGCAACGTGTGTATGACATCATCTGAATAGACCTGATTAAGTGCATTGTGTGTATGACATCATCTGAATGGATCTGATTACGTGCATTGTGTGTTTGACATCATCTTAATGAATCTGATTATGTGCATCGTGTGTGTCCATAATCTGAATGGATCAGATTACCTGCATCGTGTTTATGGCATTTTATGAATAGTTCTGATTACGTGCATCATGTGTGTGACATTATCTGAATGGATCTGATTACGTGCATCGTGTGTGTGACATAATCTGAATGGATCTGATTACGTGCATCGTGTGCATGACATCATCTGAATAGATCTGATTATGTGCATCGTGTGCATGACATCATCTGAATAGATCTGATTATGTGCATAGTGTGTATGACATCATCTGAATAGATCTGATTACATGCATCGTGTGTATGACATCATCTGAATAGATCTGATTATGTGCATAGTGTGTATGACATCATCTGAATAGATCTGATTACGTGCATGCGTATCTGCCCATAAATGATTTGTGACCTTCCATAATGTTGCCACCACCAGAAAAGACACTATAGATCATATCTTTATATTTATCATTTATATCATACCTGACCATGTCGACCTCATGTTTCTTTGGAAAAAATTTTTTGGGGAACACTTAAGTGAAAAATTCACGTTTCACTGTGACTACTGGTCGATGCACGTGCCTAGCAGGCTCTGAATACAGTTCATTATGGTTGCAAAGCTTTAATTCTCAAGCTAAAATGACAGACAGCACAAAAAGAGATGGCGTTTTTGGATAAGTGGAATTTATCCTTTTCCTGCCTGTTGTTTCATAACCTGTTCTGTTGTTGATGTACAGAGTTCCTGCTTGCAGGCTGCAGTGCAATGCTCATTTATAAACAAGCCAAATGTTTAGAAATGTTTAAAGGAACACTATAGTCATCCAGATGTCAGCAGGCATGTTATCGTTTTCAAAGGCGGAGCAGGCCGCTGTTGGTAACTTTGTGAGTAATCTTTATTTTACTTACTTTTTAAATGCAAAGGGGCATGGAGAGAAGGGTACCTATAGTCCCCAAATCATTGCTATTGCTATTTTTGGGAGGTTTAAGATTTGTTACCCAGATCCTTCTGTCCTGTTATCTAGAACACCCTTCCTTTCAAGGAGGTTTTGCTGTATATAACAGAGCTCCCGATCAATCTCACATTTTATAAATTAGTTTGTGCGAACAAGATAGTTTTGCTTGCTAGTTAACTAAATGGTTGTCACTGGGACATAAAAACTATAAATCGGGGTACATATCGGGGTGTATAGAGTTCAATGAAGTTTCCTACCTTACCTATATGTCGTTTAAACGACCATTTTTAAATCTGGTTCTCTGAATGAGTCCGACTAAATGTGGCCGCTTTATTTCCATTGGCAAGGCCGTCTTCAGTTTCATTCACCAACTCATGCATTAAGACTTTATTTGGACTGTATTTGAGAGTTGCAATTGTTCTGTTATTCTGAGGTTCATTCTGCTGCGCTTCAGCAGTTTCGATACCAAGAAAGGGAAAAGAAAAGTTCAGGCTTTTTGGCCTTTGTGGTAAAGAAGTCTTTTGTTCTTTTCTTTTATTTATTCAGTTGGTTGCGTTCCATCTATACTGTGTCAATCAATCTTAGTTCTATTTGTGTGACTCCGTTTCCATTATATCATTATCATGTCGGTTTTGGACTATTCATTCCAAACACATTAAAATTTGGATGGAATTCACTGCCTCATAACGTGTTCTTTCCCAAAGGAGAAATGTTACTAGTGTTGTGCCTGGCAAGGTTATTCAATAAAGTGTCAATTACTGTGAAGTCAAAGTAAAGTTAGCATTTTAGGGCAAAATAAGTGAAGTATAAAAAAAAAAATTGCAATAGCTTTTGCCTAAAATGTGGACTTCAGGTGATAAATCAATCCGGAATTCTGCGTATACATTCTCCATAATGTAGGGCAGCATTTTCATGTGCTGTCAATCAACATGTTAAAATGAAGTCCCGCAAACCCTTTATATACATAACTGAGATACACAATGCTTGCTCTGCAGGTATTTTATAAAACAGCTAGTAAAGGAAACGTCATAGTAACCACACCCTTCAAATTACACTTGGTGTTTTTGATTCCTATGGAAACTATAGAGTATTAGTATTAAAACAAAGAATACATTTTAACTATTTCATTTAACACTATCACTAGTTCAATTCTTTGTGGGAGCATTAAATGAGTCTTTCCCTTGTGTCGGGACAAGTAGAAATCACCTTGCTAGGTCTACTTAGGTATCGGGTAAATAAATTTAACAGTAACAGACTTTTAAGATTTGCACTGAAGCAATTAATAAAGTGCTAGACTTGTGCTAGCTCTTCCCCTGATCTGCCTCATTGGCAATCTTAGCCAAGCCAATGCTTTCCTATGTGAAAGCATTGTGATTGGCTCACAACAAAACTTCTGATAATGTCAGCCAAGCAGGCAGATCAGGGACAGAGCCATCAGCAGCAGACTGTATCAAAAGTAAGATTTTACTATATTTTGACGTGTCTGATCCTATAGTGTTCCTTTAAAGTCAAAATAAAAAATGTAAATTATAAATCTACTTTCAATTCACTTTATATTTAAGCCAATTTCCATTTTAGAATGAAGCTGTATATAAGCACTTCCTCTGTTGTGGTTATTTGCTAGTGGGAGCTTCATGCAATCAAAGTAAGTTTCATACGCTACAATATATTTAGTAGTAACTCCATGTGTCTTTAAAAGTATCCTTAAACCTTGGAATATCTTGCTCATTCCTGAGTATTACCCCCATCATGTTGAAGCCATAATTCTCATATGCTCCTCTTGGAATCCTTCTTGCCGTGGTTTTATTTGTCATGAAAACTGCCAATAAAGGTATTTTCATAACAACCACACCCATCAGTTAAGATTATGTGACTATTTCCCCTTTGCAATTTGCCGGGTGTGGTTGTTATAAAGATTTATTACTAGTTTTAGAGGTCCACTCGCACAGAATGTATCCTGAATAACCTTCTCCACCTCCTGGTTAAAAATGTTTTCATCCGCCTTACTAAGTTCTATCTCAGCTACGGCTCCACTTGGATGGCACTTGAAATGGACTCCCTTTTGGAATTGAGATCCTTATTTTGTAATCACTGTTTGGTAGGGCTTCTTTTGGACTAGGCATGATGATAGGAAGAAAAATTCCATTCACATACCCCTCCAGATCATAGTAGCAGACATGGTTACTCAATGAGAAAACAAGGGTGGTTTTGCAAGCATCTTTTATAAATCATACTTCGTGCAAGAAATTGGTATTCTGTTCTGAGTTGTTTTTTTTAAATTTTTATCAAGGGTGTCCTAAAGAAGAAAACGTGTTACTATTTTTCTGGCTCTATTATAATCGGGGAAAATGATATTTCTCTCCCCTTTAGGTATTGGGGCGATCTTTTTAATCTGCATTAGTTGAGTCTAATATTTTGAGACAAACTACTGAATTGCCAATAATTAGAAATTATAGGTCTAAACTTTGTTCTGGTTTACTCGTTTGTATCTGATGTCTAGCACATTCCACTGAAGACAGTGATTTCATCTATTATTTGAATGTCTGTGACTCACATGGAGCTATTTCATATTGCATTTTATGGGTAGTTTGCAAGATCAGTCTGGGAAAGGGTTTAGGTGACATAAAACCAAAACAATGCTAAGAATGTTTGCCTCTTTTTGATACTCAATTTTAACTTCAATAGTTATTCCAAATTTTTAGGAATAGTGTGATATATTCAAAATGGAAACATGCATGTATCTCTTGTCTGCTGCCTTTGCCAGTCCTCCTCTTTTCCACAGCCCAGACTTTCTGTGGCTGTCCAACTACAGACTTACCAATGCAGCTCAGTAAGAAGTCTTTGCACGGCAGGTGATCTGGACCAGTGCCAGCTTCTTGAATTTATCAGAACTACGATAAACAACCAGGAAGTAACAGGACTGGTTGCATGATTGACAGCCAGGGGGGTGTAACAAGGTTTCTTTAAAAAATTGTCAAATTTCTTTTGAAATATTTCTTTTGAAATATGCACTTTTATGTAAAATGGAAAAAAAAGAGCACGCACTATTCCTACATAAAGTGTTTCAGCAAGATAAAGTGGAGGTCCGGAGTGTCCTTTTAATCGTCAGGGAGAGCTCTCCCAGAATCATATGCAGTGGGTTGGTTCTCAGTTTACTACAGAAACTTCCAGAGCCCAGAGTTAATAATCTCGTGTTTAAAAACTTTCTAATTTCCCCCAGCGGCTCTGCTTTGCTCTCCATGATTGGGGTGTGCCTGACTTTTGATCTTGAATCGCCCAAGCAAAGCATCACCTCGTTCATTTCCTTTGCTTCCACAATTAGGTATTTAAAAGAACAGAAGTAAGAAACAGAACATGTTCCATTGAAGTTTAAATCTGAGTTATAAAATATGAAATAAAAAATAGATGCAAAAGAAAGAAAATATCCACTGTCATTTAGTTTTAAAGGTGCATTCCTGCAATTAGTACAGTATTTAAATAAAAACATATATTTCTTGCATGCCCAAATTTGTTTTATAAATGGCGGTGGGGGGGCTGAGAATACAGCATTATGCATCTTAACGCTGTGTCCTCTGCCCCACCCACTCTGTATTTATCTTTAGCTCCCTGTATGTCCAATAATTCAGTTTTGCATGTCATCAACTGGCACAGCAAAGGCCTCTGGGAGTGGCAATCCACTTAGCAGCCTTAATAGAGGAAAGCTGATATATATAACTACAAGTCCGAGAAAGCCTGCTTTTTCTGGTTTGAGTGGAGCTGAAAGTTAGTTCGTTCACAGAGAGCTAGTCACATCCTTGCCTTACACTTTAACCCTTACAAGGTTAAAGTTAAACATATTAGAATTAGATGTTGATTAGTGTTGAGTTAAACATGCACACCAGAATTAAATTGAAAAAAAAACAAAACAATGTTTTTAACATAGTGTGTGAATTTGCACTAAAATAAGGAGTATTGTTGTTTGCTTTAATTGTTTTGGTTTGGTGGTTTTCGCATAATATTTATTATCTATTGAGTGCATAAAGAATGGATATTTTCTGCCTTGGAATGCCTGTTTAAATAGCATGTACAATCAGAGCCCTGTATCTAGTTCTCTTCCGTTTGTGTGTGTTTTCCAATCTGGGTGGCTTAGACTGATAATACATAAAATCCAGAAAAGTAAAATATTAAACTTCTAAATCGATTACAATTTGTTTCACAGCTAACTTGTCGTACAGGCCATGTTACAGATGTCCAATATCAGGGCTTAACAAACTATACTAGAATTTAGAATTGTAAGTACAGAGGAAAACAATTGTGAGTGTGTGTACGTATATGTGCATGTGTATGCTGTGTGTATATATGTATATGTGTGTATATGTGTATGTATATATATATATATATATATATATATTGGTAGAGAAGGAGAAGAGATGGGAAATCATCAGATTTGTCCATAGATCTTGGTGGAGAAGCAAGCTGTGTCTCGGCACTGTGGTGGCAGAGACAGCTTTCTCCACTCCCTTGCATTGCCACTTGCTGTACTCAGGCTCGCCTCAGGATGATGTGATGTCATATCACTTCCCCTTGGTGGCGCTATTCAGGAGGGCTTTTAGGAGTGCAAATAGAGTGGGGAAAATTGTCCCTACTACTGCCCACAAAGGGATCATTTTCCCACACTAATGTCACATAAAATGCAGCATATCTATTTCTATCTCTTCACAACAAAGGCCAAGCCAATTCAACTCAATTATGCATTTTAGTTTTAACCCTGCGATGTAAAACATTGTAACTTTTAAGAAACTGCAGTGTTTACATTCCAGGGTTAAATCCACCTCTAGCGGTTGCCACTTCTGCAGCACTAATTAAGTAAAACTTGGCCATGTGACACATAATCCCCAATGGGAAAGCAATACATCCCGCATGCGCATCAGGTCCCCAGTACTCCTGTATGAGGGGCATTGGATTGGACACTACCTTTTCCATAACATCGCTAGAGGCGGAGAGGTAGCAAGTGAAGGGTTTTATCTAACTATATGGACAGGAATACTAAATCATTGTTAAGAGAGGTTTCTATACCTAATGCTTTAGTGTTCCTTTAAATTGGCAGCAGTGTGTGCATTAGGAGAGATGTTTGATCTCTTCGGACATACAGGAAGAACTTAGACTCCATGTCCATTTTCGTGCCTTGAATTTGTCTGTGACTGCTCTGGTTTCTGTGAATGAGCTTTGTGCAAAGAAATAGGAGCATATGTTTTTTTGTTTTTTTTCTAGTATGGTGAAATAGATTTAAAAAAAATCTCTAACTTGAAAATAAAACAAAAGTATAGAAGACTCTGTGTTATTATAGCCATTATTACATTTCACCTAAAAACTAATGACTCTGCTTTAATCTGAGCTACGTATGATAAAATTACATTTTTTTTATTTTAGCGCTTCTTTATAGAACATTTCAAATATCTGTAAAGAAAATTATGCTTCCCATTTAGAGACTTAGAATCATTTCCCCCGGGAGGCTTCTGTAACATACCACATTCTGAAACTCTTCACTCTTAATGTGGACATCAGTGGAAGCTATGAGTCAAACAGCGGAAATATATGAATTATTGGCTGTTCAGAACCATTCTAAACACCTGCAAAAACATCCATTTAATTTATGTGGTCTCCAAGGAATGGCCTTGCCGTGTCTATGGGATATAATTAAATTATTTCGCATTTGTTTGTACATTGTTGAATGCATGAGTGCTTTATAAGCGATTTTTGGTTGTTTCTTTTTAAATTTTAAGTTCATGAGTTGGGAGAAACCCGTTGAACAATTTTAAGTTCTGACCAGGAGATCACCATTGCTGTCTATCATAGACACCATTGCTGTCTATCATGTATCATGATACATGCTGAGACCAATAAAGCCTTCAAGATATATTGTTTTTCCCAGTATTATCCAAGAGTTTTCCTTCACCAAGCCCGGCCCATAGACAAGGACTATAGGGAATATAGATCCAACAATGGACCAATGAGACATCATAATAAGCAGTGGTTTGGTTTATGGACCCAACACCGATGATGTTTTTAGCTGTTTTTACACTAACCTTTAAAAAAAATAAAAATTAATATTTAATTTTTGTTAAGTTTTTAGTTAACAGTAAGCATTCACATCATGCCAGCAGTTGCCAATTATACAGTAATACAAAATACCATATTAAAATACAACAAGGAAAATGCAATTAAAAAAGGTAAATACAATAAAGTAAATGAGTACAGGTACTCCTCACTTACCGACCGGGCTCCGTTCCTACGACCTGGTCGTAGAACGAGTTGGTCGGTAAGTGAGGAGTTAAGGGATTCCCTGCTCTGGTACGCAAATTTCCCTGAACATAGATTAGAGGGATTCCCTGCCCTGTTGCATTTGTCTATGTTCGTGGAAATGTCCCTGAACATAGATGAATGCAGCAGACCGGGGAATCCCTCTAATTCCCACGACGGCTTGCACCTACCACCCCATGAGAGAGCTGGTCGTAAGTGCAAGCCGTCGTAAAACACGTAGGTCGCAAAACGAGGACCACCTGTAGGCAAAACACTTATGTGAACACCAAATTTCTGTTTTTTTCCTCTTCCTTTCCCTGGAGCACCCCATCACGGACCATCCAATAGCAATGTACTCTGCTTTATGCAGACTGGCTTCTCAGTCTCCTCCTTCTCCTTTTCCCAAGGTAATCTGACCCTTTTATTGTCACCAATCTCTCTCTTTATACAATTTTTCCATCATTCTGTATGACCTCTGTTCGTACAGGTTTGTTCATTGTAATTTAAGTTTTACCTTGGACACTGTAGGCGCTACAGGTGACTTCCAGCTCTATGCTACTCAAGATTTTGCCACCCCTAAAATAGGGGCCATTAGGTTTACTCTTACCCCTTCCACCTCTTGTGGAATAGATGTGGGAGAAAATCTCCGGTTGAAGTGGAAATGTGAGTGCTGAACACGTTTTTATCAAAGACTGAATACATTCACTGTACAGGACCAAAATCAATGCAGGAGTGTACCTCTCTTTTTGTGACACCACCAGCAAGTTGCTGATGCACCTGGTAGGCATTTCTGCATTAAGTACTAACTCATGGTTAACTTGCAGTTCAATTTCTAATGGTTTAAGCATTTAGATGCCTTGATCATGTGGTTAGGAGACTTTATGTTTCGGGAGGGATTTCACTGCCTGGAGAATTTCCTTGGTCCTGGCTGCGTTACTTAGCTGGCGGGCACAGCGGTCGCAGGGGTCCGCAGGGTGGCCGGGCTCCCTTGAGTGGTGGGCCCAATTGCAGCTGCGACCCCTGCGACCCCTGCAACCCCTGCGACTGCGGTAGTTCCGCCACTGCCCACAACTTCTTAGACCAAGATTTACTAATAGTAAAAGTTCATTTTCAAGTGGTTTTCTCACGGTGGAGCTCAAAGTACATACACGGAGATATTGAAAAGATCATAAAGGGGAAGAATAAAGGGCAAATCAAGCTGTAAATCCCCGACAGACAGATGTTAAAGAACTAGAATGCTTTGGAGAATAGTGAGCCTTTTTGTTAAGTCTCCAATGATGAGACGACTAGGAATAATCACAGCTGAGAGTTCTGAAATGAAGGAGCAGTCTGTGTGTTCTGTGGACATTGTAAGAGACTCCACATTTAGTAGTCACATTGATTAAATACTAAACGAAGCCTGGAGTCTATAGACTGGAGTCTATAATTTGTTCACCACTGCTTTATGCAATATAAACACCTACAAAATGAAGGCATATGAAGTCTATCCAGAACAGGGATATTTGTGTGGTATAGGGCATGTGCAACAGACAAAATATAATAATTGTATTTTTATATTGAATAATATCGTCAACTCATTGCAATCAATATCCCGAGTTTCTGATTCTTATTGCATGCCCCGTCTTATGTTGCAAGGGCCCATTAACTCAGTGTTTTCTCTATTGCACAATGTATTTGTTTTTATTCTGTTTTATGTTATTGTCGAACCTGTATAACCCATGTATAGAGGGGTGAGTGTATGTATGATTTGTATATATTTAAACAGCAAATGTTCCATTTATGTGTTTTGGTTTTTATACTACTTAGTTTTTTGGGTGATTCTTTCTTAATGTCAGTTTTGCTTTAAACACCCTTGTTATATAACACTCTAATCACAAGGTATCTACAATTCTACTACAGATAGAGTAACATAAGGCTTAATTTCTATCTGTAATTGTTGGGTATCACTAGTTGCTGATCATGTGCTACAGTAACAGCACGCACCAACCCTTCTCTTCTTGTAGCTGTACTTTATTTCTCTCATTGTCGGAGTGTAAGTTCTTATCTAATGCTACCTCTTTTCACCTTGATCTGACTTTCCTGGACATGAGCCGTCAGATGACAGTTATCACCAGAAAAGGTAAAGATAAGCGTAGGTCAACCCAACCCAATACCCTCTCTGTCATTTTCCGTAAAGGAGCACCTACACAACGCACGCAAACTGGGGCCGGGTTTTAGATGAACACTTTCAAACATGTAATAAATATTATATAAAGGTCCATAAACTGTTGAAAGTAAACCATTCATGCTCTGTGCCAAACCCAATGGTGGGTAAATGTAAGAAAACAATGCAAATCGAGGGAACAAGGCTGAACACTCAACTGGAACCAAAGGCTGAAACGCTCCTAAGTCATGTTAATCTTATATTGTAAAATGTACTGAAACCAAAGTCTCTTGGTACAAAACACTAGTCTCATATATTTATCTGTCTATAGAGACCTAATCATTAATTCATCATCTATTTTAATCAAACTGGATTATAACACTTGGTGCGTAGAAACTTTTACAACAACCAAACAGGATCTGCATTCTGTTGGTTCTTAAGTTTTCGTGTGGTCCACTTTATATCTAATTCGGAGCATGTGAGGGCAGTATAGCTAAGCATTTACATTGATTGCAGTTGTCTGTGACTTGGTTTGATACACCAAGCAGGAGCCCTTGTTTCCATTTTTGTTAATCCCCTGGTGTAAAAGGCTCTTGTTGTAATAGATAGACGGGAAGAAGCAAAGGTAATATCCTATGGATGTGTGAACCATTGAAATATCTAGTAACAATATACTATTTATGCCTAGCATCAGGATCAAATGGCACAGCCACTGCTAGCTAAATTTAATGGGACACTATAAGCATCAAGATAACTTTAGCTTAATGAAGCAGTTATAGTGTACAGATCATGCCCTTGTAGTCTTACTGCTCAATTCTCTGCCATTTAGGACTTAAATCACTTTGTTTATATAGCCTTAGCCACGCCTCCCTGCATAGAACAGTACAGTTTGCCTAAACACTTCCTGTAAAAAGAGATTTAATGTTTAAACTTCATGTATATCACAGTCTGTTTGGAATTTATAATCTCCTGCTCTGTTAATAACCTGCTAGACCCTGGATGAGCCTCTTGTGTGTGAGTGAATTTCAAATTGCAGAGCAGGGGTAATAACTTCTAAAGCAAGTTAACATCTGTTCGAAAATTAAAACTATTTTTCATGCAGGCTGTGTTAGTCACAGGCAGGGGCGTTTTTTTATGCTTAAATGGCAGATAATTGAGCTAACATTGTTTTGATGTCTATAGTGTCCCTGTAATTGAAGGTTAGACTTGCCATATTTATAGGTAAGATAACTGGTATTTTAATGCAGGATTAAAGTAATATCATTCCTAAATATGTTATGTCATCATTAAGACAGAATAAAAATCAAGGTACTTAAAACATATACTATGACATCTCTGCTTGCTTCTGAAAAAGGCACAGGCCAGGCATTTTATGCAAAATCAACTTAAAGGGACACTATGGTCACCAGAACAACTACAGCTTAATGTAGTTGTTCTGGTGAGTATAATAGCTCCCTTCAGGCATTTTCATGTAAGCACTGCCTTTTGGCAGTTTGACCTCCAACGCCGGTGGACCTGTGGAGAGCTGAAAATAAGGCGATTTTTAACCCATTCTGAGCTGGCCAAGGAGGGAGGGCAAGCCACCTAAATGGTGGGTTTTCACTATTAGGTCAGGAATACATGTTTGTGTTCCTGACCCTATAGCGATCCTTTAAATTTCCTATGATCTGATGTTTTGACATTGAAATTGCCAACATGCATGTTACAAAGTTGCCATTGTTGATCCATCTTTGCCCTCAAAGTGCATTGAGTCAATTGGTTCAAATGTGAATAATGTAAGTCATGTGAGAATGAGCAGAACCAGGGAGTCATGACAAGGTAAGTCAGTGTCCCGTCCGGACTTTTGATATTAATTATAGTGTAATGGGTTAAATAAAATAAATCATACTTAAATGTCAGAAATCATCCGTATGATACAGTCAATTCAAATGAATTAAAATATGCTAATCGACTAAAAAAGTACAACTTTACAAGTTATTACAATAAAAATCAAAAACCTTGTAAAGCTAAAGAGGTTATTTGGAATGGAAAATGTTATGAGATGTTTGTGTTTTGCATTCTACATTTCTTTTCCTCTGAAATCTTCATTGTTTTATATTTTTTATCTACGACATGGGAATTTCCATTCAGTTTTGTGTATGTACTCATATTGTCCCAGGAATGCTTCCGAGAATGAGTCATACTGAGGAGGGGAAAAGGTTCTCCCAGATATTTCATTTTAAGGTCATGTCCATTAAATGTCTCCCGGGACAAAGACTTTTATTTTGTTTCATAGTACCGTTTTTTTTTGTTTGTTTTTGTTTTTTTTGCAGTTAAATCCTCTGTAGGAACAATTTTATATCCTTTTACAGGCATGAGGAGTTTAGCTTATATTTTAGCTAATGTTAATTTCCGGGGGAAACTATATTACTGAACAGACAGAAAATGTAATTCTTTCCTAAGAAAACACAAAATAGCTTTAGATTAGTTCTCCATATTGTGAATTCTGGGATCAACAGATTCTGTAAGATGGGCTCTATTTGGTGTTGCAACCTCATCTAAATGAAAAAAACAAACAAATGTTAGCCATATTTCTTTTTTTTTGTAATTTGTTTCATGATATTTATTTTAGTGGCTTGTGGGAAAAATACTGGCCAGGTGATCCCACTTACTTGATAACTTAGGCAGTGGTAATGGTAGGCAACCATCGGCACTTGAGATGTTGTGAACTAAACCTCCTATAATCCTCATACAGCCATAATGCTAGCAAAGCATCAGGGGAGATGTAGTCCACAACATCTGGAGTGCCAAAGGTTACCAACCCCTGCTAGAGCTTGCAAGGTTTTATCCGAAGCCTCCAGGTTAGACAGTAGAACTTCTACACACTGGGTGGGACAGCTTTGCCAATCCTTGTCTGGAATAGTTATGCCCCAACAAAATGTTCACCAATTTGTAGATAAGGTCACTGACTTTTTAAGTTGACCTGCCTACTTGTTTGAGAAGGTCCCCCTTTGAACCCACTTGCCTTTGCCTATCCTGAATGTGTGAGACCCAGACTAATGAAAATAAGGTTAGCTAGATTTGCTTCATATTTAAGGGCTGAATATTGGCCTCCTGGCATTGCTCATTCTAAGTTAGAGGTATTAAATGTGTCAGCCACTAATGACAATCCTGTGTTCACGTATCCATCACCGTCTCCTCTTGGACAGTTCTTGGACACCAGTCATGGTGTCAGCTCCTACTCTCAGTATGGCAGTTTTGTAATGCGGAGTAGTGTGTGATTTTTATTGCTGTGCAGATATGTCATACAGAGTAAATATTTATAGATCCAAAAATATGATTTACAAAAAAGTAGGTCACTCAAAGGGAGGAGCCCTCAGTATGAGGGATCCACAGTGACTGCACTTCAAAGACATGTTTCAGTACTTTTTTCAGTACTGAGACCAGAATACCAATGGAAAAATGGGTGTTATATAACTATAAATTCAGTGGAGAACTCTTAGCAAATGACATGTATGATTAAAGAAATATAAATGCTTTATAAGACTATTCTATCGACATGCATGTTACAAATTTTCCCGTGTTTTTTGCGTTTCATTGCAAAATGTATTTAATCATCATCATTTTTGAACGCATGTCATTTTTGTGGCAATGCAATGGATTGATTGATTTTTATGTCACTTTTTTTTCACCACAAAGGTGTCCTTGTTCAGATCTGTGTTCTGTACAGATCAAGTAAAACAAAATGTTTTGGGTAGTATGAAGAAATTAGCAAATTAATGAAAATAGAATACAGCATGGTGATGTTGCAGTGAATGTGATCTGCTTAGATTTAGCTAAATCATTTGACATGGTTCCACACGGAAGCGATTGTACAAATTGAAAGAGGCTTAGTGAAAATTATTGCACTTGGATTTAACCTGATTAAATATAGTGGTGCGAGGTTTTCTTAAAGGGAAATGCTGAACCTTGATAAGAGTGGCTAGTGGAGTTATTTACAGGGATACTATAGGCACCCAGACCACTTCAGCCAATGTAAGGACTAACAGAGGGGTGAGGTGTGATAGAACTGACTAGAGAGGAAAATCAGGAAAATCAGTCTGGTTACAGCACTCACTCTCCCAGTCTTGTACTTACCTGGGTGTTACCTTTTCCCAAAATATATAATAAGAAAAGTGCACTGACAGGTCTCTGTAGATGAATATAATTTCTTTATTGTGCAATAGAATCTGTCAACGTTTCAGTCCGACATGGGACTTTTTTCAAGACTTTTTTAACATATATATATATTTGTATTTCCAAAAAGAATAATTTAGAATATGTTCCAATGCAACAAAGTATGGTAAAATGATATTGCATTTCTTGTTTCGCAAACTGTAGTCAGATCGTACTGTATCACGTAACTTATTTATACCGTTTAGGTCCTGCGTAATTAATTTTATGAAGCTCGAACACAATAAACAGATGCAGTGTCTGCTGCGTGACCTTCGATTTGCTCTGTGACCACAGAAGCAATCAGAGTAGGAAAAAATGTTTCACTGCAAGAGATTCCAAGTAGAGCAGAACTCAGATCGTAAGGGGTCACATTTTTCTGATTAACATTTTCCCTTTAGCTTGCACTAATAAAATGCTAATGGTTAATGTTAGTATTCATAATGTATGCCATATAATACTGCCCTCCACTGTCTGAATTCAATACCTGCACATTTTACATTTCATACAAGGTTGCAAGCGACTTATGGAAGACTAGTAGGATATTTTGGAATTGTTGAATTTATTCAGCTACGATTTTATAACTTTTGCTATACTATCATAAAACACAAAATCTAAATTGATGCTCATCTGCTACTATGTGAGCTGTAAAACATAGGATATATGGGACGTACTTTCTCTGTTATTAACTCATTAAGAATCAGGAGGATGTGCAAGAAAATGATTAGCTAGCCAGTCTCAAGTAGAGGACGGTAATTTGTGGATTGTAAATATTTTTGCAGAAAACTGTAGACATGTAATGTATCTGGTTCTATAAGCTACATCATCTGTCCCTTTATTACATTGTCACATCCATTGCTAGGTGTTGAGAGTGTGAATAGTTCTAGAGAAGATTTTTCCACCCCTGGTTAATTTGATGTATTGTGACAACCGTGCAAATGTGCAACATGCCCTCTACCTAACATGCCATTTCCACATTCTTTCTCTATCGGATCAAGGACTGGAATGGCTAAATCCCCTAATCACTAGCCCAAAATATTTGGTGATGGTTTGTGCTGTAACATGTTGACATTTCCTAAGGGCACGTACATTAAACATGAACCTTCTTAGTTCTTAAGGTGACATATCTCTTAACTACCAGGACTACAAAGGATTTCACAAAGCATCACATGTTTCAACTTTGCCCTTACATAATCTGTAAAACAGGGAGAGAAATCATGGAGGGACATCTTCCATACATCATAATGCGTAGAAAGAAGTATTGATCTACCTCAACAATTCATTGTTAATGCAGTTTGTTTTTGTAATAAAAGTCAGAGCTGACGTTTTGAAGCCCTGATATATATTTATTTTAATATAGATATACACTAACTATTTTATTTTTATGTTTTCTTTACAGTTTAAAAACCATGATGTTGCCTACAAGACTATCTGCATTGTGTCTTCTTGTGTTTGTAATCTCCGAGGTGGAGCCACATAGTTCCAACTGGAAACCAATGTGGCCAAGTTACAAAGTTCCAGTTGTTCTTCCACAAGCCACATTAAGTTTGGGCAAAGCTCAGTTTAATGCAGAACCCAGGCTAGATGTGGCCTCACCTTGTGGACCGGAATGTCACAAACATTACTCATTACCTACTTTGGAAGAGCTCAAAGAATATATGTCTTATGAGACTTTGTACTCTAATGGAAGCCACACTGAGACCGAAGTAGGAATTTATGTTCTTGGGAGCAGTGTTTCGTCAACACAAAGTGGTGGTAAATCACGCACCAAAAGACAGATCTATGGATATGATAGTAGATTTAGCATATATGGGAAGGACTTTTTGTTAAATTATCCTTTTTCCACATCAGTGAAATTATCCACCGGCTGCACTGGCACATTGGTAGCAGAAAAACATGTCCTAACAGCAGCTCACTGCATCCACGATGGTAAGAGTTATGTCAAAGGAGCACAGAAGCTAAGGGTCGGTTTCTTAAAACCCAAGCATAAAGATGGTGAGAAGGCACTAAACCAGACAAATTCTAGAATTCCTGATAAGATGAAATTCCAGTGGATTCGAGTGAAAAGGACACATGTGCCAAAAGGTTGGATCAAGGGTAATGCCAATGACATAGGTATGGATTATGACTATGCCCTGTTGGAACTTAAGAAACCTCACAAAAGAAAGTTCATGATGATAGGTGTCAGTCCCACCAGCCGGCAATTTCCAAGTGGTAGGATTCATTTCTCTGGCTATGATAATGATCGACCAGGCCATCTCGTGTATCGGTTCTGTGATGTCAAGGAAGAGACCTATGACCTACTGTATCAACAATGCGATGCTCAACCTGGGGCTAGTGGATCTGGTGTGTATGTAAGGATGTGGAAGAGACAGAAACAAAAATGGGAGAGAAAAATCATAGGAATATTTTCTGGGCACCAGTGGGTAGACAAGGACGGTGACAAGCAAGATTACAATGTAGCTGTGCGTATCACGCCTCTCAAGTACGCACAGATATGTTTCTGGATTAAAGGTAACTATATAGATTGCAGGGATGGATAAATGCTTTCCTTCTGTCTCTCTTAAAGAACGAACCTTAAAACATGGGAATATCTTGCGTCAAAGAGAAACAAAAATTGGAGAACTATTTGTTATTTAAATCCCACACCTTAACCACCAAGCCACTATATTTACTTACAAGAGCTACAACAATGCAAGGATAATATAAACTGAAACACTGAATGTTAAATCACACCTTTATCTCTCATTAACAGTAGTAATAACGGAAAATACAAATGAACTGAGATGGCTACTGTTGAAAAATGCTAACATGTTATTGTTTTCTGTGACCTTCACTCTACAAATGTCATGGACAAATCCCATCAAATTCAGCCAGATGGATGTTGGTAGATACAGTTGGGCAGCAACTTGTTAATGATTTAAAAAAAAAAAACAGCCCAAAAATGGGGCATGAAGTTTTTTCAACTCAGTGATAATTTACTCTGTGAGACTCTACCATTATTTTAAATGGAACCTCCAATGGATATTTCCAATGGTTTCAGTTATCTAAAGGTCATGTTTTACTATGCAAAGTATTGATTGTAGAAAAAGAAGAGTTAACTTTCCAAAACTTTTCATGCACTTTGTTTTGTTTTTGTCCAAGTCTAGGATACAAGATACAAATTTTGATCTTTTCATTTCTATTTCTGATCATGACCTTTACTTTTAAGTGGAACTGTCAACCACCCATTGAATAAAACATTAAAAAACAATTATGGCTTGTGCTAACCCTTTTTTCATGTGATGCTACTTTTGTTTATAATTTATAATAAAGATTTAGAAAATTATATCACAATCTAGTTCAGTCCAAGCACGCCAGAGCACACATTTCATATAAAATAAATCAGTGCCGATTTCCTTTTTTTATTTTATTTTCCAGACCTCACAGACACATATGTTTAATATATGGGATAAGTAAACACAATTTTAAAAAAAGTTACAATTCTTCACTACCATAACCATTTACCATTACCATAACTCTACCATTTACCATTACCATAACTCTACTATTTACCATTACCATAACTCCACCATTTACCTCTCCCATTTACCATTGCCATAACTCTATCATTTACCAATACCATAACTGTACCATTTACCTCTACTATTTACCATTACCATAACTTTACCTTTTACCATTACCATCACTCTACCATTTACCATAACTCTACCATTTACCATTACCATAACTGTGTTATGTAACTATTTAACATCTTTCATGATGATTGTACCTTTGACGGGAATGTTTTTTTTGTATGCCTTATTGGTATTAAGGCAGTTTGTTTTTCTATGATCAATGCTCTAGCTAGTGCGAGCGATAGCGATAAGTCTTTTGAAATTGAACCATTAAGCCTGTTACTGGTACATTACCCTTACAAGTCACAGCTAACATCGTTACACCCAACAAATGATTATGTTTGGAGTTTTAGTGTGTAACACCCATTTCCATTATGAATCTGTGCAGCACACAGCAGGCATGTAGTATAGTTAAAGACAGACTCCTAGCTAATGTAGTGTCCACATGTTCTTACTCTAAAAAAACAAAAACAAAACAAAAACAAATTATATAATGTTTGCCTGTTGAGTGATTACTGCTAAAGCAGTGGATCAGTCTTCCTGCTGTTCACATTTTCCAAAATAAAAAAGCTTTTCAGTCTCAGAATGTATGGCTTCTGTAGGTGAATTATTGCACCTGAGTGCACATTTCTATTGTTTGTTATTTCATTAATGTCTTTCCGCAAGATTTCTTTAGAATGCAAAAGCCTGATGGGCTCCCAATTATTTTCACCATTTAATAGCTTGTAGAGAACATTGTTGCATGTTATTGTTAATTATCATGTTTCTTAGAGCTGTACATAGGGAACATAAAACATATCAAAGCTCTAGCTAGATTTGGCAACATAGGATATAGGATATAAAGATAAAACTATTATTGAATAGACATGTGAATGTTAAGTAGATTTAAGAATGAGCTGTATATGTAACTGTGTACAATGGCAGACCGCCTGGTACCCCGACTGGTTACCTCTGCCAAACACGCTTCCTAGCTATCGCAGGGACACCATTAGCACTTTCAGCCCCTAGCCGCCGCAGCTCTCCCCACCATGGACCAGGGTCCTGGATCCAGCTCCCAGTGGTCAAAGCTCTCCTGCAGAGAGTATAGCTGTATAGTAGTAGTAGTAAGTATAGCATTCCCCCCACACATTAGCCGAGACTTAATGCTGGGAGTAGATTTGTTTAGTGCAGGCAAAGCTTCAGAATTTATACATACAGTAAACTCCTCCCCTGTGCCTGAGAGATAATTGAGTCAGGAACTATACAAACGCAATTATCTCCAGGTAAAGAAATACACACACTTTAAAACACCCCAAAAGTACCCCCAAAATCCATGGAATCCCCGGATAGCCCTGATCTGAGTGACCATCATATCCAAAAATCACTCAGATCGGTTCAGTGGTTTGGATTTTTCAGGGAAGTCAACTTTTGACCGACTGCACAAGTGGCTTCTGCCCAAATAGTTCCATAAGTTAAGTGGTAGCGGTCCGTCAATTGGCACCAAAATCGAACTAAATACCAAACAGATCCTCTGGCTCCTAGGTAGCAATTGTTCACCTAGTTCATGTGAATAATCCTACCGAATGGCACTCTCCTGACACGAATAGCAACAAAGCCGGCGTTCGTCAAAATTCAGCGGTGTTCGCGAGTTAGAGTCTCCGATTTTAGTTCCATGCACTCGACGACCGAACACCTCTGCCTGTGTTCGTGAGAACAAGATGGCCGCCAACTCAGTTCCCACGTGTTTCTGCATATGAACCGTGGGCACCCATCCGAACACTTAGAATCCATAGTGTAAAAAGCAAGTGTCAGGAGAGGTCAATAAGGGTTAACAAGCCCAGAGGTGGTCTGCAGTTCATGGGTTTGTTCAGTTCCCAAGCAATAAATAGAAATCAAGTCAAGACAAACCAAGTCTTCTAAAAGGCTGTTACATAGCCAGCAAGCTCCTCCAGGCAGAGACATCTTTGCCACGCATCTCCCACCCCCAAGGGAAAACTAAACAGGTACCAGTTAGTCGAGAAGCCCGCCCAAAAACAACTGACTAACCTGGTAGCCTCCTGTGCCATGCTCTGCCCTGGTAGGTCCACTTTGTCATAGGTGTAGTCCGTCATCTCTAGTGTCTCCTGATACCAGGCACTGCTGCTGGGGAGTGAGACCGGTTGTCTCCACTCCCTGTAGGGACACTGCCGCTGGGGAGTGGGACCTATTGTGTCCACTCCCAGTGATGCACTCGGCTGCTGGGAAGTGAGACCAGTTGTCTCCTGTCTCTGTAACTCTGGCTGTGGTTGGGGAGAGGGACTGGTTCTCTCATCTCCCTGCAGGGTATACTGCCGCTAGGGAGTGAGACTGGTTGTCTCCACTCCCTGTAGGGACACTGCCGCTGGGGAGTGGGACCTATTGTGTCCACTCCCAGTGATGCACTCGGCTGCTGGGAAGTGAGACCAGTTGTCTCCTGTCTCTGTAACTCTGGCTGTGGTTGGGGAGAGGGACTGGTTCTCTCATCTCCCTGCAGGGTATACTGCCGCTAGGGAGTGAGACCGGTTGTCTCAAGTCCCTGCAAGATACACTGTCCATGGGGAGTGAGACAGGTTGTCTCCACTCCCTGTAACTCCAGGTGTGGTTGGGGAGAGGGGCCGGTTGTCTCCTCTCCCTGCAGGGTACACTGCCGCTGGGGAGTGAGACCGATTGTCTCCACTCCCATAATTGTAACATCTAGAAAATCATCTATTGTGACGGCCTATTGCTGAACCAAGTTGAACATTCATCGGTAATCCTGCTTCAGCTCCTATTCCAGCGTGGCCAGATGGATCCGGTCTGGCCCCAGGTAAGCAGCTCCATGAAGATCCATCAGAGCTTTCCTAGTACTTATTTAAATATATCTACAGAAACATAGAAACATAGAATGTGACGGCAGATAAGAACCATTCGGCCCATCTAGTCTGCCCAATTTTCTAAATACTTTCATTAGTCCCTAGTCTTATCTTATAGTTAGGATAGCCTTATGCTTATCCCACACATGCTTAAACTCCTTTACTGTGTTAACCTCTACCACTTCAGCTGGAAGGCTATTCTATGCATCCACTACCCTCTCAGTAAAGTAATACTTCCTGATATTATTTTTAAACCTTTGTCCCTCTAATTTAAGACTATGTCCTCTTGTTGTGGTAGTTTTTCTTCTTTTTAAATATAGTCTCCTCCTTTACTGTGTTGATTCCCTTTATATATTTAAATGTTTCTATCATATCCCCCCTGTCTCGTCTTTCCTCCAAGCTATACATGTTAAGATCCTTTAACCTTTCCTGGTAAGTTTTATCCCGCAATCCATGAACCAGTTTAGTAGCCCTTCTCTGAACCCTCTCTAAGGTATCAATATCCTTCAGAAGATACGGTCTCCAGTACTGTGTACAATACTCCAAGTGAGGTCTCACCAGTGTTCTGTACAATGGCATGAGTACTTCCCTCTTTCTACTGCTAATACCTCTCTCTATACAACCAAGCATTCTGCTAGCATTTCCTGCTGCTCTATTACATTGTCTGCCTACCTTTAAGTCATCAGAAATAATCGCCCCTAAATCCCTTTCCTCAGATGTTGAGGTTAGGACTCTATCAAATATTCTGTACTCTGCCCTTGGGTTTTTACGCCCAAGATGCATTATCTTGCACTTATCCACATTAAATGTCAGTTGCCACAATTCTGACCATTTTTCTAGTTTACCTAAATCATTTGTCATTTGGCTTATCCCTCCTGGAACATCAACCCTGTTACATATCTTTGTATCATCAGCAAAAAGACATACCTTACCATCAAGACCTTCTGCAATATCACTAATAAAAAGTACAAGTACAGATCCCTGAGGTAACCCACTGGTGACAAGTCCAAGCTTCGAATATATTCCATTAACTACTACCCTCTGTTGCCTGTCACTCAGCCACTGCCTTACCCATTCAACAATATTTGAATCCAAACTTAAAGATTGCAGTTTATTGATAAGCCTTCTATGTGCAACAGTGTCAAAAGCCTTACAGAAATCTAGGTAAGCAATGTCTACTGCACCACCCTGATCTATAATTTTAGTTACCCAATCAAAAAAATCAATGAGATTAGTTTGGCATGATCTCCCTGAAGTAAACCCATGTTGTCTCTGATCTTGAAATCCATGTGATTTTTAGATGTTTATCAATCCTATCCTTTAACATGGTTTCCATCACTTTCCCCACTACTGAAGTAAGGCTTACTGGCCTATAGTTGCCCGACTCCTCCCTATTACCTTTCTTGTAAATGGGCACAACATTCGCTAACTTCCAATCTTCTGGGACTACCCCTGTTAACAATGATTGGTTAAATAAATCTGTTAATGGTTTTGCTAGTACACCACTAAGCTCTTTTAATAGCTTTGGGGGTGTATTCCATCAGGTCCCATTGACTTATTTGTCTTTACTTTTGACAGTTGAAATAGAACCTCTTCCTCTGTAAACTCACGTGTAATAAATGACTCATTTATCCTTTTTCTCAACTGAGGTCCCTTTCCTTCCTTTTTTATCTGTAAATACAGAACAAAAATATTCATTGAGGCAGTCTGCTAGACCTTTATCCTCTTCTACATACCTTCCTTCTTTTGTTTTTAATCTAACTAATCCTTGTTTTACTTTTCTTTTCTCATTTATGTATCTAAAAAATGTTTTATCCCCCTTTTTTACTGACTGTGCTATTTTCTCTTCTGTGTGTGATTTGGAAGCTCTTATAACTTGCTTAGTATCTTTCTGCCTAATCTTACAGGGAGTGCAGAATTATTAGGCAAATGAGTATTTTGACCACATCATCCTCTTTATGCATGTTGTCTTACTCCAAGCTGTATAGGCTCAAAAGCCTACTACCAATTAAGCATATTAGGTGATGTGCATCTCTGTAATGAGAAGGGGTGTGGTCTAATGACATCAACACCCTATATCAGGTGTGTATAATTATTAGGCAACTTCCTTTCCTTTGGCAAAATGGGTCAAAAGAAGGACTTGACAGGCTCAGAAAAGTCAAAAATAGTGAGATATCTTGCAGAGGGATGCAGCACTTTTAAAATTGCAAAGCTTCTGAAGCGTGATCATCGAACAATCAAGCGTTTCATTCAAAATAGTCAACAGGGTCGCAAGAAGCGTGTGGAAAAACCAAGGCGCAAAATAACTGCCTATGAACTGAGAAAAGTCAAGCGTGCAGCTGCCACGATGCCATTTGCCACCAGTTTGGCCATATTTCAGAGCTGCAACATCACTGGAGTGCCCAAAAGCACAAGGTGTGCAATACTCAGAGACATGGCCAAGGTAAGAAAGGCTGAAAGACGACCACCACTGAACAAGACACACAAGCTGAAACGCCAAGACTGGGCCAAGAAATATCTCAAGACTGATTTTTCTAAGGTTTTATGGACTGATGAAATGAGAGTGAGTCTTGATGGGCCAGATGGATGGGCCCGTGGCTGGATTGGTAAAGGGCAGAGAGCTCCAGTCCGACTCAGACGCCAGCAAGGTGGAGGTGGAGTACTGGTTTGGGCTCGTATCATCAAAGATGAGCTTGTGGGGCCTTTTCGGGTTGAGGATGGAGTCAAGCTCAACTCCCAGTCCTACTGCCAGTTCCTGAAGACACCTTCTTCAAGCAGTGGTACAGGAAGAAGTCTGCATCCTTCAAGAAAAACATGATTTTCATGCAGGACAATGCTCCATCACACGCGTCCAAGTACTCCACAGCGTGGCTGGCAAGAAAGGGTATGAAAGAAGAAAATCTAATGACATGGCCTCCTTGTTCACCTGATCTGAACCCCATTGAGAACCTGTGGTCCATCATCAAATGTGAGATTTACAAGGAGGGAAAACAGTACACCTCTGAACAGTGTCTGGGAGGCTGTGGTTGCTGCTGCACGCAATGTTGATGGTGAACAGATCAAAACACTGACAGAATCCATGGATGGCAGGCTTTTGAGTGTCCTTGCAAAGAAAGGTGGCTATATTGGTCACTGATTTGTTTTTGTTTTGTTTTGAATGTCAGAAATGTATATTTGTGAATGTTGAGATGTTATATTGGTTTCACTGGTAATAATAAATAATTGAAATGGGTATATATTTGTTTTTGTTAAGTTGCCTAATAATTATGCACAGTAATAGTCACCTGCACACACAGATATCCCCCTAACATAGCTAAAACTAAAATCAAACTAAAAACTACTTCCAAAAATATTCAGCTTTGATATTAATGAGTTTTTTGGGTTCATTGAGAACATGGTTGTTGTTCAATAATAAAATTAATCCTCAAAAATACAACTTGCCTAATAATTCTGCACTCCCTGTATAGATCATTTTGTCTTCCTCACTCTGGGTTTTCTTATAATTCCTAAATGCTAACTTTTTGTTTTTAACTATTTTGGCCACATCTGTGGAGTACCACAGTGGTTTCTTGAATTTTTTGCTTTTACTAACAAGCCTAATGCAATTTTCTGTTGCCTTCAATAGTGCAACTTTTAAATAATCCAATTTCTCTTGGACTCCATTTAAATTGCTCCAGTCTGATAATGACTCCTCTACCCATATTCTAATTTTAGAAAAGTCTGTTTTTCTAAAGTCTAAAACTTTTGTTTTTGTGTGGTGTGACTCAGTCACTGTTCTTCACTGTTCTTATATTAAACCACACTGACTGATGATCACTGGATCCTAAACTTTCACCTACAGTAATATCTGATACCAAATCTCCATTTGTTAACACTAAATCTAGTATGGCCTCTTTACAAGTTGGCTCCTCAACAACTTGTTTTAGAGACAATCCCAGTAGGGAGTTTAGAATATGTGTGCTCCTGGCACAAGTAGCTAATTTTGTTTTCCAATTTACATCAGGAAGATTAAAGTCACCCATGATGATAACTTCCCCCTTCATTGTCATTTTAGCTATTTCCTCAACTAGTAGATTATCTAACTCTTCAATTTGTCCTGGGGGCCTATAAATCACACCTACACGAGTTACTGTGTGATTACCAAATTCTAACGTAGCCCAAACGGACTCTGTGTTTGCCTCACTAACTTTTATTAGGCTAGATTTTATGCTATCCTTCACATACAAGGCCACCCCTCCCCCTTTCTTGCCTTCCCTATCTTTCCTATATAAAGAGTACCCTGGTATTGCTATGTCCCAGTCATTTTTCTCATTGTACCATGTCTCAGTAACAGCGACTAAATCTACACTAATATCTATGTGTGTGTGTGACTATGTGCAAATATTTGTGTGTAAGTATAGACGTATTTAGTGATTTAAAATATAGTCCCCAATGTTGGTATCATCCCTAGTAAGCCAGACCAATTCTAGCATTAGTATTATAGAATGAGAATATAAGCAGAATTTGAGCTATGCTAGAACTCTCTTGACAGCAATTTCTTGTGTGCTGTGAGTAGCCCAGTAAAATCTGCAAAGGTTAGAGAATCAGGAGAATTCTCTGGAATTTCTTTAGACATATGAAATGTTCACTTATTTTGCTCAGTCAACTCCCTATCCATTTTATCACCTTTCTGACTAGTATCCCAACACTTGTTGTTATACTGTTTTCCCCTGGCATTGCAAATGATGTCACTTTTCACCACATCATGATGAGTTCCACCTCAGGGAGAATTGGAGAATGAAAGTGAGAGATACATCATCTAGGTGGCATGTTGTGCCATTTGCTGCAGCTGTGAGAGACAGTTGGTAAATTCTCCGATATTCTACCCATGACTCCAGTGGTGTTGTTACGGCTGGGCTTTAAAGCCCTGATTGTAGACCTGTAAAGCCCCAGATGTATTAATACTTTATATATTCTAAGCTAGCTTCAGATCCATTGGGGACTAGAGCTAGGGAGGTGTGTAGAATCTGTCTGGTCATAGGGTGGGTGTAGAGTCCTGCATACTCCAGTATTCTACAGTACAGTACAGAACCATACTCCTTACATAGAGAACTCATACAGTGGAAGTAATAAGCTAACATTGAAGAGAAGGAATTATATGTAGAGCCGAATTATGTAAATGAGTCCAGGCCTGGAAAACATGCATAGAAAGTGTCTTTCCTCACTTTTACTTCAAAACTTCACTTCTGCCAGCTGTGGGCATTTCTAGGGAACATTACACCTTTTTAATTCAGATTAATAAACTAGACGGCTGTAGGTAACTCTGATTCTGCCTTGAGGTTGTTTCCTCCTGGCTGCAGCTCTCCCAGGGGATTAAGGTAATACCTAGTTTGATTCCAACAGCACCCCCCTTTCAAACGACTGGTCCTACCGTGAGCAGCTTAAGAGCCGCCTCTGCCTATCTATCCCACTCCAGATTTATTAAACTGCTGCATTTATTTAGCTATGCTCTGCTTAATGTGCCACATTTATTGATGTTTACCCATGCAGTACCTATGAATGCCTATGTGCATTACAGTCTCTGTGTGTTCGTTTGTGTATTTGTCTTTGTGTCCTTGCATTAGTGTGTCTGTGTGTTTGAATGAACTTGTATGTATGTGTCTGTGTGGATCTGTTCATTGGTGTGTTTGTATATTTAGTTTTTTTTCTTCACATGACTGTATATTTGTGTTTATGACTATATTTGTGTTTGCATTTATAAATATACACCAGGCCGCCTGCCAATCACATATGCCAGTCCACTGAGGGCAGACAATGCAGGTCCTAGTGCCCTTAGTGATACACTTTTTGGGGACAGTTCTTTGGTATCCCCAAAAGCGGGACAACGGGGAACAAACTTGGGATGGCTGTCCAGGACCCTAAAATTGTGACTGTTCCGCTGAAATTGGGATGATTGGCAGGCTGCCTATGTGCATCTCTCTGAGTGTATGTCAGTGCATGTGTATCTGTATGTGTGTGCAGTAAATGAGTGTGATATGCTTAGAGCTAAAAAAAAGTATGTGGATGTATAAAAATATTTCAATATTTATATGTACTTACACTTATATTTAGAAGCATTCAATATACGTGCCATAAGGTAGTTTAGTTTAGGGCTCAAGCCCTGGGATATTTTGGAACCTAACAATGCCCCCCTCTCAGCACCCCTCATGTCTCTCTCTCTAATGTAGCACTATGACAAGATGTTATTGGTGAAATGTTCAAAAAATGTCATGTCACTCCATTTGTGAAATTACTCTCTTGTCACGGTCACATGAAATTAATTTGTAAGGTTCGGAGTCACCTATTTTGGAGTGACTTGTCATAAAGATTTTGTCACTGTGTAATTGCTGCACGGACAGAATAAATTAAGTTAAAAAAGAATGAAGCAAAATTAATGGTTATAACTTTGACTGCTAAACTGAGCTGATAGATCTGGGTTATTAATAGAATATATTTTATGTTTCAGAGGAACTGCACTAAAATCTGACTGTGGGTTTGAAAGTAGGAACTTTGTATTAGTTAATTTATATAGTCTTCTTAATGAAATTCCACAAAAAGCTAATATTTTGTCTTTTATAAAAATGTATTGAAATAAAAAGGTATTTTTGAGAAATGTCACCATCACCTATCTAGGAATGGAAATGGCTGGCATGAGTCATCAGCATTATTTTCTTCATAAAACCAGAATTACCCTTACAGAGGCTTTACATTTTATCCAGACACCACAATTAGCAGCAAAACTGTACTCTGCCAGCAATAATGTGTTACGTGTAAACAATGTACTTGGGAACTTGCTGGGTTTCAAAGTTCGGAGGGTAATTAGCAAGACCTGAGATGAAAATACCTTTACACTGGTTTTGGGATAACGGCATCTACCATTACTAAGAAAGACACGTACTTCACTCTGTAGAGATGATCCTCCCTCTCTACACCTTCTCCCTGCTTCTTACTTTCTTTTCTTGAGTACCTCCTTTCTACTTCCAAAATGGATCATAGAGTTGACCAGCTGAATGGACACTGCAGTTCGAAAGTTGGCTTATCATATTTGTTGTCTTGCACACTTACAGAACACACGGGACCTTCTTCAGAGTCCCTAAAGTAACTCAAAATAACATCAGCTCTTTTTTATGTTTTAAAAATAGGATAAAATAGAAACATAGAAACTTAGAATGTAACGGCAGATAGGAACAATTCGGCCCATCTAGTCTGCCCAATTTTCTAAATACTTTCATTAGTACCTGGCTTTATCTCAAGTATAGGATATCCTTATGCCTATACCACACATGCTTAAACATCTACCACTTTAGCTGGAAGGCTATTCCATTCATCCACTACCCTCTCCGTAAAGTAATACTTCCGGATATTATTTTTAAATCTTTGTCCCTCTAATTTAAGACTATGTCCTCTTGTTGTGGTAGTTTTTCTTATTTTAAATATAGTCTCCTCCTTTACTGTGTTGATTCCCTTTATGTATTTAAATGTTTCTGTCATATCCCCCCTCGTCTCGTCTTTCCTCCAAGCTATACATGTTAAGATCCTTTAACCTTTCCTGGTAAGTTTTATCCTGCAATCCATGAACCAATTTAGTAGCCCTTCTCTGAACCCTCTCTAAGGTATCAATATCCTTTCATACTATTTTCATACTTTCTGGTTAATCTTTTCAAAAAGTATCACACTGTTCAATGTTTCAGTTTTAATGTAATGCATGTCTCTCACAGTATCTATTTTTGCAAATTTTTATATATTTTTTTTAATGGGACAGCATTTTAAAACATTTTTTTTACCAGAAGGCATTCTATTAATTTATGTGTTTTCACCCAAGACAAACAGAGCTCATTCACTGATATCATATTATTTTAAAAGCTCCTTAAGTCTTCTTTTAATATCTCTACAGTTCTTCTGAGTTTGTATTTTTATAATTGCTTATTTTTGTTGTTGTTGTTTTTAACTCTGCAATTAAATGTTATTAGTTTTCATTGTTCCTCGGAGCTACAAAAAAATGATAATCTTTCATAGCAAATGTTTTGAGTTTCTGTTTACGCGGTTTGCTTTTTGAGATATACCTGGATGCACATCTAAAGATAACACACTATCAGGAACCACAGATGATGTATGGAATCAAGATGATAACAGAAGATTTTGATGTAACGTCAGTACATTTTACAGTCAGTTTTTCCTGATTTATCAGTAAAGCAAAAAAAAAAACAAAACATGCGTGTTAAGAATGGATTTCAACTTGAGGATAAATGATGATAACTTGATGATATACTTGATAAATATTCTCCTTCTTAGTCAATAGAAAAAGTTTTACATTTACAAAACAATTTGCGATATAGGGCATTAGGTTGGATGTATCAACAAAGTTCTAACGGCAGAGAATTATTGGTAGACCGGAAAAGTGAAATTTTTTCACTGTTTTAAGTAGGTCATTTATATTGATGTGAGTCGAAGATTTTTTAGAAGAAAATTATATACTTTTCAGAGGTGGCATCATTATTTCATTGGATTTTACATTTTTCTTAAGACATTGTCCTGCCTTGGTGGTCAAAAAGGCTAAAGGCTGTAGAAGTACCCAGCAATATGATTTGCTTCACAAGTTCACATAGTCTTCAGATATTGCTGATTTCTAATCAACAAACCAGTACTTGCCAAAATGCACCAAAATGCCAAACCATTAAAGGACCACTATAGTGCCAGGAAAACATACTCGTTTTCCTGGCACTGTAGTGCCCTGAGGGTGCCCCCACCCTCAGGGTCCCCCTCCCGCCCGGCTCTGGAAGGGGGAAAGGGGTAAAAACTTACCTTTTTCCAGCGCTGGGTGGGGAGCTCTCCTCCTCCGATCCTTCTCTTCTCCTCCCATGTGGCTGAATGCGCACGCACGGCAAGAGCTGCGCGCGCATTCAGCCGGTCACATAGGAAAGCATTATCCTATCAATGCTTTCCTATGGACGCTTGCGTGCTCTCACTGTGATTTTCACAGTGAGAAGCACGCAAGCGCCTCTAGCGGCTGTCAATGAGACAGCCACTAGAGGAATTGGAGGAAGGCTTAACCCATTCACAAACATAGCAGTTTCTCTGAAACTGCTATTTTTATAAAAGAATGGGTTAAGCCTAGCTGGACCTGGCACCCAGACCACTTCATTAAGCTGAAGTGGTCTGGGTGCCTAGAGTGGTCCTTTAAGGTTTATAAGTAGAAAAAGAAAGCATTTACCAAACATGAAACCAAACCGAAACGTTGCTCCCCAATCATGAATGGCCAATTTCTTCCAGCAATAAATATTTATCTGTAAAATTTACACAAAACAAAAACCAACAAATCTTTTTCATTCAATACCACACTTCAACAGAAATGCTTCAAACCGATCACAGTAAGGCTGCTTATTAATTATTTCTTTTGAATATTACATGATATATTTCTGTATTTTTATGTGATAGTGATGATTCGTCTTGTTGTTTACTGAGTTACCTTCAGTAACAAAAATGTTATTATGTCCTTGATTAATGGTTTATCCATAACTGTTCAATAGATGAATGTGCAATTGTTGTGTGTAAATAGTCATACTGATCATTTTACCGATTGCTTTGACATTTTGTAATACTTAATATAATTGTTGTATACGTATTTTGCCCAAGCGCTTGTTTTGAATGTACAACACAGAAAGAAAATCTTATGAAATCCAAATAAATGTCTTTCTTTCTTTTTTTATGTGACATGACATTTCTTTTGATGACAGAAAACTAGAAATACAATATTCTTTATTCGGAATGTTTCCTTTCTGTAATATATTCAAATATTCATTGTGTGGCGATCATTTAAAAGTTTGCAATGACATCCAAACAAGCATGGAACAAGGAGCCCTAACTGGAGCTATTTTCCTTGATTTTGCAAAGGCCTTTGACACAGTAGACCACGACATTCTACTGTACAAACTCAAAAACTCAGGTATTGGTGGTTGTCCGCTAACCTGGTTTCGATCGTATGTATCGGATCGCTCGCAATATGTGTCCATTTCTGACAGCGACTCCCTCCCTCTCCCGGTCATGTGTGGTGTTCCCCAGGGTTCCATTCTCGGCCCCCTACTATTTACATTACTTATACATTATCTGCCTAATGTCTGCAAATACTCAAATGTACACATGTACACAGACGACACAGTAATCTATGCAAGCAAATCCAATCTACCGCAACTTGAGGTTGTGCTCCAAGACCAGGTTACAGAGGTAGAAAAGTGGATCGCAAAAAACAAACTCTTCCTAAACACTGACAAAACTGTCACAATGATCTTTGGAACAGTACCTAAATTACACAAATTACACAATTTCCACCTATCCATCAAAACAAATTCAAATGGCACACTGACCGCAGTCCACTCTTTCAAATACTTGGGTATGATATTAGACCCCAATCTATCTTTTGGCCTCCACATAGAAAAACTTGCATCTAAACTTTATCAAAAACTAGGTGCCCTGTACAGAAACAAATCCTGCCTAAGCCCTACAGTAAAGGAAAAGATTGTACAGCAAATGCTGATGCCAATCATTGATTATGGGGATGTAGTATATGCACCTGCACCACAATCCCACATAAATAAACTCAATACATTGTATAACTCGTTCTGCTGATTTGTGCTACAATGTAATTACAGGACCCACCATTGTGACATGCTAAAAGAACTAAACTGGCTGTCGCTGGAATCCAGATGCACCCTTCATCTTTCCAGCCTTGTGTTTAAGAGCTTTTCTGGGAAGCACCTACCCTACCTGAGCAGAATACTCTCCTCAGCTGTTCCCACCTCCTATAACCTCCGATCCAGTACCAGCACTTTATTTAGTCTACCTCAATACAAAAAGAAAGTGGCCCGATCCTCCTTCTCCTACAGAGCGCCGCCATTGTGGAACGATTTCCCGCACACTTTAAAATCTTCCCCAAGCCTAAAGAGATCCCTCTCTACATACCTCAAAACAGAATGCCCATGTTCTGGTTGATTATATATTTCCTACCTGTTCTATGTAAAATTTTGTATATATTGTGTATTGATATTGTTTTTGTATCTTATTGTACCCTAATGTAACAATGCAATGATTTGTGGACCCAGGACACAATTGAAAATGAGAGAAATCTCAATGTATCTTTCCTGGTAAAATATTTTATAAATAAATCAATAATTTACATTTCGACAGAGTTAATTAAGTGGGCAATTTCTTATAATATGTTGAAAAATTTATTTTCTCACCCCTTATTTCTCATTCTTGGGTCCTCTACCAGAGGCTTGGGAGTCTGAGGGTTCTGCGGAGTATCTTAACTGTTCCTAGAACAGTGAGCTCAGATGCTCCACTTGGAATTTGTTGAAGCCATTCCCCCAACTTGTGGGTTACAGCTCTAAGTGCTCCTATTACAACTGGGAATAATACTGCCTTCACTTTCCACATCCTTTCGTTCAGTCCTTGGTATTTGTGTGTATATTTATTATTTATCATACATACAGTGATGGAACTACCAGAGATGTCGCTGGTGCATCTGTTCTACTGATCACAGGGCTTTTTGGGACCTTCAGACACTGCAGCTGGGATAATACGTGTTTAGATTTTGCCCATATTCAGAATCATTAAGCTAAAGGAAAGAGAGAGTGTGGTAATTGTGACAGAGGTGCTGAGAAGAAGTGCTGATGGAGTCATAAGCAGCAGTGAGACGGCACCCTCTGAGCAGTGCCATTCAGAGATCGAAAGCTGTGTACGTGTGAATGCGTATCTCTATAACTGCGAATGTGTCAGTTTGTTGCTGTATGTAATAGTGAATTTCTGAGTGTGGCATTTTGATGTATGCATCTGTATGTCCGTGTGAATATGTGACTGTGAGTGTATTTGTGTATATCTATATTGTGCGTGTATCTTTGAATGATTGCATACCTTCCAACAGTACTGAATCCACAGGGACCGTCCAGATTTCAGCTCTAGTTCCAGGTTGGTTTCCTGTCCTGGTGTCCCACATCCAAGAACATCAGGGAACTGGTAAAGCTGTTTGTATGAGGGGCTCAGTGGAGTGTTTTTGAATTGTTGAAGGAACCAAATAAGTAGCAGAATTGTTAAAAGCTTTTTAGGTAAGTGTCAGTATTTTGAACTGGATTCTAAATGTAGACTGTTGTAGACCAGTATGGGTATATATGAGACCAGTAACCAGTACAGGCGATTAGCACATAATACAGGTTACTTTAGACAATAATATGATAAATGGCCCATCCACATTGGGTGGGGGAAGGAGGAGATGTTTGGGCACCAATTTGTGATCTAGTTATTAAAACAGAAATATATCAGTAGTGTGTATACTTGTCTGTCTGTGACCATGTGTCTGGATATGTTTTACAGTGTGTATGCAAGTGTGTGTCTAGAAATGTGTTTTTGTGCATGTATGTGTGAGTGTGTATATACGTGTGTGTCTGGGAGTGTGTATATGTGTGAGAATGTGTGGGGAGCCGTGCCACAGTTTTTTTAAGAGGCTCATGAACTTCAGATAATTGTCGTGTCTGTGGTCAGGTGCACTAACCCACCATGTGTGAGTCAGTGAGAGCTGTACACCAAGAAGGTTTGCATAAAGTCACCGTAAAAGTGATTCCAGATGCACATTAGGCTACCTTTACCTGTTGACCACACAGACCAAACAAATCCTTCATGTCTTCTTCCTCTTCCTGTTGGGCTATTTGCATTCAAAAAATAACACTCTACCCGATTCACCTCCAGGAAGGCATTTATGTTTCCTAATCTTCGAGGGGTGGTTACTGCAAGTGATGGTACTTACCTTTCTGGAATCTGTTTAAAGGACTATCTTACCATTTGTCTACCTCAGGTCCACCCTTAGTCAGGGATAATTGGCAAGGGGTGGATCCAAGGACAAGGGTTACTAAGATACACACCAGTAGAAATGACGCTAAGGTATATTATACGAGGTCCATAAATTATTTTACCCTTTGAGCGCCAAAGATATAAATAATAATGTATTGCTTTAGTAACGAATTGCTCACTTCTAAGTCAGTGGGTAGATACTGCATTTGCAAAACATTAATACACAATTGGGAGACCTGCACGGAGTAATACAATACATTGCTGAGAGCACTGACAATCCCAAGTTGGGCACTTTTGCTGGGCATATGTGTAGCATAATTAACATGCAGTGGCAAGACTAATGTAGAGAGGGCCTGGCACTGGTGAAATAATTATTTTGCCACCCACCCCTCTGCAAGGGTTGGCAAATGGTAGAGCCCCATCTGTTATACAATTCGCACAATGCTTTGTCAGATGGAGATCTACCATTTGCCCATCTTGGAAGGGTTGTATTTAGCACTGAGCAGCGTTTGTGTGTTTGAATGCACGCTTTTGCATGTGTGTTTTTGTATAGTGAATGTGTCTGTGAAGGTGGGGGTGTAATTGTGTGTAGTGTTGGACTTTAAATGTAAGGGTTTGTTTGTATATAGTGCTGTTTTTTTAATGTAGGGGTGTGTTTGTGTATTGTGTTGGTGTTTAAATGCATGTGTACATTTCTGTGTAGTGTTGGTTTTTGAATGCAGGGGTGTGTTTGTGTGTGCGTATACATATATATATGGATGTAGAAACAATCACACTCCTGGGACTTTTAGTAAATAATAAAATTTGGCTTTTATTTAAGCCATGTAAAATATCGACGTTTCAGCTCCCAGCTATGCTCCCACGTCGATATTTTACATGGATTGAATAAAAGCAAAATTGTATTATTTATTTATTTTATTATTTACTAAAAGTCCCAGGAGTGCGATTGTTTCTACATCCATAGCTAACGTTGCCACAACCAGCACCGGGCATTACAAACGTCAACTTGGAGTGAAAGCTATGACACTGTATATATATGTATATAGAGGTTTGACTGGTGTGTGTATTGTGTTTAGCAATGTATTAACTATCCACTTACTTTACTTTTTTCACCACCACAACTCTGTTGGTATGTACTTTACAAGTATCACCAAGCCTCCACACCAAGCCAGTAACCAACCTCATGCTGATTAGTTGCATTAACAATGAAACAGCTGTCCATGAGTGGTTCACTGGCTTTGCTCCTCTTCCTGAGTTGTGTTTCCAAGCTGTTGTATACAGCAGACACATACTCCAAGAATTCCATGTATAAAGAGGAATTATGAGGCAAAAATGTGGTTCGTTGTTGAGCTCATTTGCATATGCCTACCCAGAATCCCTAGCAGTAGTGATGGCACTGTTAAAGTGAGATTTCTGTGGGAAAAGCAAATCTTATGGCTTGACTGATGTGTGTATTTGTGTTTAGCAATGTATTAACTATATATATATATATTTATATATGTACACACATATACACATACACTGACACACACACACACTGATACATATACATGCAGAGACCAGACACACAGATACACACACTGATACACATGCAGTTACATATACTGGTCAACATTTACACATTTTTAGCCATTCTCCTGCTCCCTATTTTTTGAGTGCAGGAAGGTGGCTTCCCTGGGGTCTTGTTGGATCTACAGGCTAAGGCTGTTAAAAGTCAGGTACAGTTTGTGACCCCTCCCGTCTTTCCCCTCCCATGCGGCTTAATGTCTCACCTCCCAGCACTGCCGATATGAAAGGGGCTTGGTCACTCTGTTACAAAGCTGCAGGGCATGACTGGGCTCCTGATGACACATGCCCATCGGGTATCACTAGGTGCATGGGACACCCGACTGGCCCCCTTGGCGTGCAGAGTGCAGTGAGCAGTAGTTCCGCCTCTGATAACATATTCAGTAAGAATGCAATAGGATTTCATGTAAATATCATCCAGGCTTTACGATAGATAGATTCTTTATGTAGTTTCTGTGCTTCTGATGCTAGAGTATCGTCATGGGAGAGGAGAAAGATTTATGTCACTTTGAAAAAAAATGTAGAAGCTCCAAATCACTGAAAGGTGAAAAATGTGCATGAAGATGGTGCTTTTTATTAAAGTGGGGTTTTATGTTGATCACAATTGTTTTGCTTGAATACTGCATGTTCCGTTCTGTGGTTTGATGTATGCAACTATAAAAAGATAACATGAGAATCTTAGCAAAGATAACATGAGAATCTTAGCACTGAGACTGTAACAATACGATTAGTTTTATTCCCTTTATGAAGCTCTATGTTCATCGGGGAAACCACCACTAAATAAAACCCTTTATACTGTGGACAGTCAATGCAATCCCTATATCACACTATTTTACCTTAATGTTTGCAACTACAGTAATTAATAGATTCAAATGTCTAGATAGGAATTCAAAGCTTTTTATTTGCCGAAGTAACCTGTGGATTTATGCCGTGGGCAGTTAGTTTGATAATAATAATTATGTGTAATTTACATTTAGAATCGAGGATTACTAACTGTAGATTGACACCAGTTGATGGAGTTTTAAGAATTCTCCACGGATTATTCTGCAGTTCCCTGTTAGACAATGTACCAGAATAATAGCATTTTAGTGATATCAGATATCCCGTGGCTCCAAAAGATTTTCATTTTGCTCAAAAATTCTTCTTATTTTTTTTTTTTAATTCTTTTTTTTAGTTGTGCATTGCAAAATCACAATCTGACAAAGCCGGAACATATATCATATAACATGCAACTTTATCCAGTAGCGTGCTCTGGACAGGCGTGGCGTAGATGCACATTTCAGATTTTTGTTAGAATAGAAAAACAGATACATTGGCATCAAAAGTAATAACTTTGATTATCGGTAATACCATGTTTACACCAGAACCAACTTGTATTCTCAGCAAGCTAGTGCAAGTCCAGCAG